CGTACCTACGGAAAAATCCTGGCTACGCCCCTGTAACTGTCGAGAGTATTAACAGCAGCATTGTCAAATTCACATATGCTGAATCCAAATTCTGTTTAACGCGGAAGGACGGGGAAGTGGAACAGAATACTGGGACCTAGTGAAACCCACGCCCTACTCGACCTAGGCGCCATCTTTGTTTGTGTGGTTCATGTTGGCTCTCTTCTTTTCCTCATAGAATGGCATCTAGAAAAGTCGTACGCGTTGTAGTTGGCCTGGCAGCTGGAACATTACTTACTGTTAAGGCATTTCCACACATTTATCCACACGAATACGTTAAGAGGCTTATGGAACTCAAAGTGAACTCGACAGAAATGCAGGTCCCAGCTCGTTGCAGAGAACAGCTCGAAAGGATTGCTCCCAAAATTGGGGTCAATCAGAGTGAAAAGATCACATTTTTCGTGTCCAAGTCTCTGTTTCCCATGTCTGCTGGAGCAACGTGGCTTCCCAACGGTGCTGTAATTGGAGTGCCTTTGTCTTTCTTTTTCAAGCAAGAACAAGATATTGCAAGGTTCAGACAAATCACCAATATGAACAGTGGTAAGGGACCTCTTTATTTAGAAGGCAAGATCGGTGCTAAATTGAAAGACACACTTATCATGTCTGATGATAACGTGGCATTCCTCATTGGTCATGAGCTGAGTCATATAAAGTGCGTGGATTTAGCACCGCAAATTTTATTAGCGCCTTCCTGGTTCTATGTGACATTTGAAATTGCCAACTCGTCCCGAAGAGTCATTCCTAGAGCTTCAGTCTTTGTAGATGGCATTATTAAAATCTCTGTGTGTTTCCTCAGTTATCTTTGTTATTGGAAGGCACAACGATATCTAAATCATTATCAAGAATTCAAAGCAGATGAGATGTGTGCGAGAAGTGACCTGAATGTAGCTGAGGGTGGAGCCGACTGGATGTTAAAAACAATGAACTTTAACTCCTTCATGAGATTGTTGCATGAAAGGGGTACAACAAGGCCACAGTCTCCTCAAAGGAAGACTTCAGAAGGCTACACTCATCCAAAGTTACTGGACAGGTTAAGAAAAGTGGAAGTTATTGTGGATCAGATGATGAAAGGTGCTTTATGTTAATCAAAGGGTGCCTAAGGCTAAGTTGTGGATTATTAATGTCTGTATTTTAGAAATAAAAGCTGATAATGAACCTGCAATTAGTCTAGCAGTATATTTTAAGTCTGTACAAAAATGAAAATGGGGCTTTACGAAAAAAAAAAAAGTCTCCAACGGTGACAGTCGAATCCCGGGCCTCTGAAGTGTAAGGTCAACGTGTTATCTATTGCGCCACGACAACTAATATTGATTACCCTCGATAATTAATCATCTTTAACACTTTTGCCCATAAAATTCTGCTGGTCAAAGCTGTTTGAAGCCGGTAAGAGCTTTATTTAGGAAGAATTGAAAGTATGGTTTTGACAGTTAAAGCCGTACTTTAACTCATTTCATCGCATTTGAAGACCATATGGCTGACAAGTGTCTCCCAAAATGGTTGCGAAGTCTCTTGCAGCTTGCGATTCCTGGCGATTGCATTAGGAGAATCATGAGGCAGAATCGTGAGCTTGGACCAGCTTGGGAGTCGAAGAGCAATTAATAAATTGCTGATCTTTTCATCATGTTTATTGTCTGGACGAGTCAAAAAGCTTCAAAAGTTCATAAACTTCTGTCACAAAGTTGGCCATAGTGCTAATTTGAAACATTCAAAGTCCACATGAATACCGTGGTCCTGTGACTCCTATGAAATGTGCAAAATCAGCACATTGCGGAACGGGAACGATCTACGACAGTTGTCGTTTTGATATCAGTCACTCTCCTGCAGGGCCAACTAATTTACGAAAGGTGTCTACATCTGAGTGACACATTTGCATATTGCAGTGACCACAATAACTTGTTCTTTATGCTACACATAATCCACAAGTTAAAAACTGTATATAAATGAAATCATAAATATATAAATGAGTATTAAAAATATATAAATGAGTATTAAGCTTACCCTTTCTAATGAGACAACCCCACCCCCCACCCCTTTCCAGGCTTCTCCAAAAATTTAACCCATTTACTGCTAGATGAGTGGTTTTCTTGTAACTGATGTGCTATAAGGAGCTAAAACTTACCATAAAGCCATTTACAGGTCTTACACTTTGCAGCATTCTAATCCAGATGCAAAATATTAGCTTGTGAAGTTTGGGCATATGCAAAGACCATAATTTTGCGATAGTTTTTTTTAGTTGAGTTGCCTCTGGTGGTTTGCATTGATTATGACTCTTGCATGAAGAAATAAAAGTTTTGAGAGATCCTTTGTTAGCAAAATAAAGTAGTACATTCAAAATCATTTCTTTTTTATTCTAACTTGTTTGATTTAATTGCTTTTCAGAGAATGATAAACAGTACCAAGTTAACTGAGTGGCAGCATGGATTATTTTTCACAAGAAAAGGATGCATTGTCCTAGAGGATTTTCATTGTTAAGATAAATGTTGGCAAAAGTTCTAATTTCCTTCCCCATAGTTAAATAGAAATTGCCAACTTACTTCCAGAATTGACAAAAACAATCTCTCTGTCTCTTTGGCTACAGCATATAACATTTACTGGCAATTTAAAACCTGTAAATGCATTATACACTGTAGCTGTGTAAGGGCAGTTTTCATCAGCAGCCATGTCAAGGAATCATTTACCTGCTTGCAGCCGCATTTTTCAGAATTTTGCTGACCCACTGCTGATAGGTTGGGTGATCCCTAGTGCCCATCAAATATGTAATCTAACCCCAGTTAGATACTTCAGCAAAGCAGCACCAATATCTTCGTTCTGGGCCCCAAAGGGACTCAGCAAATTACTGGAAATGTGTTTTGCTTTCTCTTCAAACTGATTGGCAATGTTTTAGGAGGCTAATCATAACACATACGCAAATCTTGGTACACAGAGGGAGCCCCAGAACGAGGATTTTGTCGTTGTTTCAGAGACAGACTTAATCAGAGGTTTAGTTTCATCCATAGTGCTGGCTAGGTGATCCCAGGTTACAAAAAGTGGATAAAAGACTAAAAATCAGAGCCGCCATAGTGCTAACATGATCTGAAGGCCCTTAAGAGTTGATGGTGCTTGGGACATACAGTACTTTTATTTTGTTTCTGTGTCTACAGTTGATCCTTCATTAAGCAGCCATCCTCTGGGTACTGGCAAGTGGCCACTTATGGAGGTTGGCCACTCAATAGAGGTCCGTCTTAAATTAGCATCACAGCATAATCTTTAGCAGAAACATCACTTTATTTTGAGACAACCAGACGAAGGGAGCAGCAGCATTACTGGTCCACAATCCGTTGCCACTTTTTTTTTAGACTGTATCATTTTTCCTTCATCATATTCTTGAAATAAAGCCAAACTAAGTGTATCAAGTGCTTGATGGCTGCGTAATAGAGGTGACGGGACGGGAGGTATTGGGACGGCCAAAAGGAGGAGGGTCAACTATAGTTCAGTACAACCTGTTCCTACCTCAGTGATCTACATGTATAAGTACGGCAATGACTTGTGTACTTCCGCTCTGATATAACTTGTTTATTAGCCTTTATTTACTATAAATAAATAAATAAATAAATAAATAAATAAATAAATAAATAACTAGTCATAGCAGTGCTTTTAGAAAAATTTAAAGAAGCCCATAGCGTTTTTAACCTGTAACATTAAGGTTGCCCAGCATATCATTTTGATGACAAACTCTGATATCTTAGTTGCCCGAGCGAGAGCAGGCCTATAGACCCCTTCACGGTTGTAATGGAATACAAAATCAACTAATACTTGCTTATTGAATGTATTATTGTCACTTTCCCCTTGACAAATGTAACTTAAAGACGCTACACATTAAATCTGTAGTGTATAGCAGTCCATTGTTGCATTTTAGTAAAGTTGAGTTCTTCCATACATTTTCTGTTATCTGACAACACAAAAATTACACATAATGCATGAAAGAAGTCAAATTTTTCTAAAAAGTGACAAAGGACTGCTTTGCTCTCCACATTTAGTGTATAATTTCGTTAAGTTCATTAGTTAAAGTTTGCAAAAAGAAAGTGGCGAGAATTGAAAGTATGGTTTTGACAGTTAAAGCCGTACTTTAACTCATTTCATCGCATTTGAAGACCATATGGCTGACAAGTGTCTCCCAAAATGGTTGCGAAGTCTCTTGCAGCTTGCGATTCCTGGCGATTACATTAGGAGAATCATGAGGCAGAATCGTGAGCTTGGACCAGCTTGGGAGTCGAAGAGCAATTGCTGATCTTTTCATCATGTTTATTGTCTGGACGAGTCAAAAAGCTTCAAAAGTTCATAAACTTCTGTCACAAAGTTGGCCATAGTGCTAATTTGAAACATTCAAAGTCCACATGAATACCGTGGTCCTGTGACTCCTATGAAATGTGCAAAATCAGCACATTGCGGAACGGGAACGATCTACGACAGTTGTCGTTTTGATATCAGTCACTCTCCTGCAGGGCCAACTAATTTACGAAAGGTGTCTACATCTGAGTGACACATTTGCATATTGCAGTGACCACAATAACTTGTTCTTTATGCTACACATAATCCACAAGTTAAAAACTGTATATAAATGAAATCATAAATATATAAATGAGTATTAAAAATATATAAATGAGTATTAAGCTTACCCTTTCTAATGAGACAACCCCACCCCCCACCCCTTTCCAGGCTTCTCCAAAAATTTAACCCATTTACTGCTAGATGAGTGGTTTTCTTGTAACTGATGTGCTATAAGGAGCTAAAACTTACCATAAAGCCATTTACAGGTCTTACACTTTGCAGCATTCTAATCCAGATGCAAAATATTAGCTTGTGAAGTTTGGGCATATGCAAAGACCATAATTTTGCGATAGTTTTTTTGGTTGAGTTGCCTCTGGTGGTTTGCATTGATTATGACTCTTGCATGAAGAAATAAAAGTTTTGAGAGATCCTTTGTTGGCAAAATAAAGTAGTACATTCAAAATCATTTCTTTTTTATTCTAACTTGTTTGATTTAATTGCTTTTCAGAGAATGATAAACAGTACCAAGTTAACTGAGTGGCAGCATGGATTATTTTTCACAAGAAAAGGATGCATTGTCCTAGAGGATTTTCATTGTTAAGATAAATGTTGGCAAAAGTTCTAATTTCCTTCCCCATAGTTAAATAGAAATTGCCAACTTACTTCCAGAATTGACAAAAACAATCTCTCTGTCTCTTTGGCTACAGCATATAACATTTACTGGCAATTTAAAACCTGTAAATGCATTATACACTGTAGCTGTGTAAGGGCAGTTTTCATCAGCAGCCATGTCAAGGAATCATTTACCTGCTTGCAGCCGCATTTTTCAGAATTTTGCTGACCCACTGCTGATAGGTTGGGTGATCCCTAGTGCCCATCAAATATGTAATCTAACCCCAGTTAGATACTTCAGCAAAGCAGCACCAATATCTTCGTTCTGGGCCCCAAAGGGACTCAGCAAATTACTGGAAATGTGTTTTGCTTTCTCTTCAAACTGATTGGCAATGTTTTAGGAGGCTAATCATAACACATACGCAAATCTTGGTACACAGAGGGAGCCCCAGAACGAGGATTTTGTCGTTGTTTCAGAGACAGACTTAATCAGAGGTTTAGTTTCATCCATAGTGCTGGCTAGGTGATCCCAGGTTACAAAAAGTGGATAAAAGACTAAAAATCAGAGCCGCCATAGTGCTAACATGATCTGAAGGCCCTTAAGAGTTGATGGTGCTTGGGACATACAGTACTTTTATTTTGTTTCTGTGTCTACAGTTGATCCTTCATTAAGCAGCCATCCTCTGGGTACTGGCAAGTGGCCACTTATGGAGGTTGGCCACTCAATAGAGGTCCGTCTTAAATTAGCATCACAGCATAATCTTTAGCAGAAACATCACTTTATTTTGAGACAACCAGACGAAGGGAGCAGCAGCATTACTGGTCCACAATCCGTTGCCACTTTTTTTTTAGACTGTATCATTTTTCCTTCATCATATTCTTGAAATAAAGCCAAACTAAGTGTATCAAGTGCTTGATGGCTGCGTAATAGAGGTGACGGGACGGG